CAAGGACCACCTCCCCGTCTTCACCTAAAATCTTTGTAAGAAGCACAACAAACTTCGGCAGCCTTGCTTCTGAAATAGCTAGCGAGGGGTTATTTTATTCCATATTGTTTTCCTCATCCTGAATTGCGTCTTTTATTGCCCATTTGATCAAACATTTATTTCCGTAAACATGAATTTGAGTTTAAAAAAAATTGACTGATTTGGCTTCCAGTCTGAATTGTTACATTTTTGAGTCAGATGACACAACATTTTACTCCCATGGAAGACTCCAACTAATAATACTTTTGTCATTTGCTTCACAACTGCAACACCTTTTTGTCACCTGGACAATAAAAAAATTATCTTTCCTCGCTTTCTTTTCTCATGGTGACTATTGTTATTCATCTTCCTCTTCTATGGATGAGAGGTTGAGAGTCTAGGAGGTGAGGGGTTGCGTAATCGAAATGTTTTTTTCGGTCTTTCGTGTTATGTTGTAGTTGTTTTCCTTTGTTCTTTTTTTTTTCACAAAATACATTCCTTTAACCTTAGCTTATTTGCTGCTCAATATGAGTCCATACATGCTGTGTCACGGATGAGGCTCGAACTGGTGAACCCTACTCTCATAGCTAATGGGTATTATTATTGATAAAAAAGAGGGGTCTGTCTAGTCCATATGGGACCTATGTAAAATGCATCACTGGCAAATTTCAACAACACCTCGGTGAAAAACTATTTACAAACATTCAGTTACGATGATGTGATGATCCAGCATGTTATGTTATGCAATTTGCTTTTTCAAGAAACTTAATATACCGTATTTATTCGATTAACCGCCCTGGGCGCTTATTAAAGTTTTGGACCTTGAGAGTGGGCGCTTATTCGAGGCTGGCGCTTATTAAATTTTCACCATTTTCAGCAAGTGAAGTATGTTTATTTTGCAACAAAGCAATAAATGCTAATAACAAAACGCGAAGAAGTAACAAAGCAAGCTTTCTGTAAAATACTCTGAAGAAAACTCCGTCCTCTCGGAAGTCTCTTATTAGAATTTATTCACTCAAGTGGGTGGGGTGCGGGTGAACTCTTATTTGAGTTTGATTGGGAGGAAGAGGGAGTGGGCGCTTATTAACTTTTTCTACCTTTAGGATGGGCGCTTATTCGAGGTGGGCGCTAATTCGAGGTTGAGCGCTTAGTTGAATAAATACGGTAATGCTGGAAAGAAAAAAAATGTTTTATCTATTAAGAAAAGAAAAAGGTTGAAGTGAGAACCCTGTGTGGAGCAATCCTATCAGGCTGGCGGCTTGTCTGGTAGTATTGCATAGATGAGGCCTCTCGCATCACATTTTCATTCTGTTCAAATAGATAGACTCAATACAAGCACTATAATGATCTGAAACTACCTCTGCAGCTCATCAACACTGTGAATATCTCTTAGAGATTGAATTTTCATACATGTGAAAAACACATGGGTGTATAGTCATTGTAAAAGATATCATTACACATACAGAACTGTGCAAACTTCGTCAAAGAAGATAGTACAATGAATACTTTATTTCATTACCTGGTCAAGAATGGCCAGCTGTATTCGCATTTCATAGGTATCTGCTCGCCTGAAATGAATACACTTTGGAGCATAGATTAACATCACTAAGTGTAGTGACTCGATCCAGTATGTATCACGACACTGAAAAAAAAGACTAGAAATGTACTTTATATAGTTATAATCAACCCCTGCCCTTTCCAGTCACTGTACTAGTCCTACCACAAACCCTGTGTAATGGTACTCTTAGTGCCATCAGGGATTCACATGGCCACTTCTGTAAGGAACTAGTAATTAGTGCATGCATCAGTCATTGCTCAATATAGGCAAAAGGATCATTAGATAGATAGAATGGTGCTCCATAACTGTTCATAAAAATTACCAAGGCATAATCCTCTGCATTTTTGTAGATTGTTGTGCCCTCGATGGCTTTCTGGTAGGCAACAATAGCTCTTTCACTGACAAGAGGTTACTTGCTGCAAACATAGCCGTCTTCTTGACAGCGAGAGTCTTTATGGCAATTGTTATGATTTCCCTGCAGAAGTTTACTATAGAGTATAAGCAACAGGTAATATATTTGTGAAATCAACCATTTTCAACACCAAAGTAAACTCTATTATTGTAATAAGATACCTTGTAATGATCCTCAATGTTGGTAATGTAGTTTCTTAATGTGGGGGCATTTTCATTGCAACTTTTCATACCATAATAAATGTGTCTTTGTACATTTTACTGAAAGCACATAATTTCACAAGGTGATAAAAATACACAATAGTATACTTCTCACTATTCTATTTTTTAATGAAAATTCAAGGAACTAAGGAATCATCAGGTAATCGACATAATGCAGTATTACCTTTATCATATAATTCAGCAAACCAAGTCTTCTCAGCATCTCGAACAAGGCCGCTAGCCACCTTTTTGATAGCTTTCTTCACACCTTTTCCACCTTCACAAAGAAAATGGGAAAGATAATGGAAACTTGGATCTAGAATTACTTGCCCATATGCTTTCGCACCATCAAGGATTGCCATGTAATAGTACATACCATGCCAGCTATCATATGAGTTTTTCATTCCCTTTGAACTGGCCCACTGTTTCAAGGCTGGTACAGAGTCATGTGCCAGTTCACCAACTTGATGACCTGTCCAAAAGAAAGAAGTGGAAGCTAGCAAGCTCATTTAAGGTAAAAATGGTATCCACACAAATAAAGAAAAAAAAATAAATTTTAAGGCGGCTCACCCAGATTAACTAAGGAATCCACAACTTGTTTGGTCATGGGTACTTCTCGTGATGCTGTCGCACTCAGGTCCTCTTTAGACCAGTTTAAACTGTATATAACCTTTTTGTTACTACAACATTTCAGACACAGGAAGAAACAAGGAAATATCATTATCTACCCACACTAACAACTGTGTCGATGGACTACAGTTACCTAAAATAACAATGCATGTCCACTCTCACACCAGATTAAATTAGTTTACCTGTTAGATAATGCTA